CTAATGTTTTATTCAGCAGGGGTGAATATAAAAATATATATATATATATATTTTTATATTCTCAAAATATATCATGAAAATATATTCTCTAGTAAAGTAGCCTAATAGTATTAATCTATTAACTTTGCATAAAAATTCGTCTTTTTACTTAAGTACCAGATATGGTGTCATACCATTAAATATATTTAATACGACTGACTTTGTATTTAATGTGAAGTTAATAAAAACATTGTAAGTTACTAATTAGCCTATAACACTTCCATTGTACAAAAAGAGAGCAAAGAACATTTCACTTCAGTCCAGCGAATTCAAGCACTCTCAAAAACTCCCATAATAATCTCTAAAGCTGTTTACACTGTCAAATTAATATCTTACATTCGTACATCTTCACTTTGTTGTTGATGAGACAACCAAGCGCCCAGTGACGAAACAGCGTGTTTCAGCGGTGACTCATCTGAACGCCTCTGATTGGTCGTTGTATTCATAAACTCAACATAATAGTATGGGATTGGTTATAATGTGCAGCGCTTTAAAAACCTGTGTGTCTCTGGCTCTGTGTCAGTATGAGATAAATACATAACTTCATTCATAATGCTCAGCCTGTGTGAAATAGGATATTTGAAGTTGCTGTCCTTCTAGTATCCTCGGTGTTGCCTGTAAAAGGAGTTTGAATGGCTACAGGTGATACTGTTTTTGCAAAGCTTTTCCTGCTATTGTTCCTTCCTTTTGTGGGATATCTTGATTCAGCATTGCTAGACTTTCTTCCTCCTTGGTTGTCCTGAATATTACCAAAGAGGGGATCTGAACTTATTCTCACCTGCTTCTCAAGGAAGATCACAACATCCTTCAAACCAGCCCTTTGGTTGGTTTCCTCCAAGATGTCATTTGCCGCAGTTCTCCATTTTTCCTTCATTTTATAGGGTAGTTTTGATAGAATTACCCTTAGGTTAGCAGCAGTATCCAATTCCCTCATATAACGTAACTCACGCATCACATTACAACAGCCTCTTAAATACAGAACATAACTGCGCAAGGCTTGACAATCTTCAGCCTTGATGTTTGGCCACTGTTGAATTTTCTCAATATATGCATTTGTCACTCTTATGTCATCCCCAAAATTCTCCTGTGGGAGGCGTTTTGCCTGCTTATAGCCACTACAGGAATCCATACGCATAGGCCTACAACTCCGGACTAGGTCTCTGGCTTGTCCAGATGTGAACTGCTCAAGATAGAAAAGATGTTCCTTGTTATGTATTGTTTTATTCTCAATGTTGTACTCAAAAGATTGCATGAAAGGAATGAAACTCAAAGGATCTCCATTATAAACAGACACTGCTCTGTTGTTTAAGTAACATTTCAGTCAGATCGGTCTGTTGTTTCAGTATGTTGTGAAGAATATTTTCATTTGCTGAATTGTCATTCATTAGTTGATTTGTGGTTGCACCATCAACTTGATCTTGAGTTGATCTAGATATTGTGCTCATTGGTTGCAATAATTGCTTACTTTGCAGAGGAGTTTTTGGAACAACATTTATAGGTGCATAATTTGCAGGAGATTGCTCATGCTCACTAGTAATGGATACCTGAAAAGGCTTTTTTTTCTTCAAGTTGAGTATTCATCATTTCCATCCCATCAACTGGATATGTTGTGTGGATGTGTTCATAATTCTTGAACACATTAATTTCAGCGTCTGAGGCAGCCAAATGAGTTTCAACTTTCAATTTCTCTTTCATTACTCTTATTTTAGCTTCTTCTAACTCTAAAGCATGTTTCTTTGCCAAGGAAGCAGCACGTGCTATCAACGCTGCTTTCTTTGCCTCAGCTTTCATACATGCAGAGGATGCAGTAGATTACACCGAGAATCTTGATGTTCGACTTGAACAACTAGTGTGACTTGAAACTTGTGAGGTGTTTGATTTAGATTTGTTCTTTGAGACTACGGATATACTATCATCAGGTGCAACAGTACTTTCAAGTTGTGTCCCAATGTCCCTTTCAACTGGATTTTGATCCACGTGATCTTTTAACCACATTTCAGTCTCAAATAAAAAATCCTGAAAACACTCAATCTTTGGATTAAACCAGTTCTTATTGTCTTCATCCCTTTCCTCCTTTGACAACATTGCATGCACTTGACTGTGAACATCATTTAAGTCCTGCAGAGCAACTTTAAATTTCTCTGTAAGTGTTTTCACATTGTCTGGACTTCCATTTGTTTTAGATCCTTTATCTCATTCATTTTCTGTGTGCATGCACCCAGCTTGCCTCTATGACTTCCAACGAACTGTGCCAAAGAATCTCCCTCTTCCTCTTCCATGATTTCAAATCAATTCAAATCCAACAATTCACAAATTATTGCTGCTGTCGCCAAACAATGTTCCTTTTGCACAGTTCAATCAAGTTCTTCATCAAGTAAAGACTTCAAACGAAGGGAATTACTCACAAATTTAGTTTCCAGTGAATCAAAGTAATTGTCCAACTTGTGCCAGCCAGTATCCATTCAGTCAACATGCTTCAGGTAAGTATAATCCATTTATTTCCATCTAGAGTTTCCACTCTCACAAAGCAACCTACTGCCATGCGATTGGACAATTGTTTGTATTAACTGACAGGCATCTTAGGCTGACTACTACATCCCTTTAAGCAGGACCCTACAGGTATTATTTAGGTGCAGGTACATCTATGAATCATACATAGGCCTATAATATAACTGCAGGGGTGTGTGAATACATTTGAATGGTGGTTAAATATAAACATTTAGTTTATTCAAAAATCAAACAGTGAAAAGTTCATTATGAGGCAAAATACTGCAACAGACAGTTTCAGTGCAACAGTTCAGAATCAAAGCAATGAAAAAACAATATATATATTGAAAAAAAAAGAATATCTATATCTATATATATATATATATATTCTTTTTTTTTTTTTAGAAAAGCACTTGAGGTTGCATCTTCAAAATTCTGGACAATGACCTTGTTCTCTTTTTCAGCCACCACAGTATAGCCTACAGGAGAACATTAATCTGAATCAGTGAGCTGGATTGAATGTTGGCGTTGAATGATCTTTCAAGATTTTAGTTTGTTTTCTATCATCCTAAATAATCCCAAACCATTAGTTTTATTATTTTCACTCTAATAATACCCATGGTGAGATCTATGACATTTGTTGAGCATATGACAGTATTTTAGCTCTAATAATGAAATTACTTTTCTGAAAACTTTTTTTGTTTGTTTGTTTTTTCTCGGTTGGAAGTTAAGAGTCAACCACGCCTACCTAAAACGCCGCGTTCTAACACGCCCCCACGTCTACGTCACGATGTGGGAAGATTTGCATAACGCCGTCCAAAAGTTCACACAAAGAAAGAAGGCGTAACTTTTATTCTCGCTGTAGTATTGTTGCCGCCGCCATGTCATAAAGATGCCGTAAAGGCATGTGTTTGTGTTCTGTGTGTTTCGTTGTGAAAGCAAAACTACTTTGTTTGGTCTTTCAAAAGAGGACGATATCCGCTTCGTCATGCCTGGAGCAGATCCTTGCTGGTCGCTGAGGAAATACATCAACTTTGTGCTGTGGATCTCCGGATCGGCTTTCACCGTGGACGAAGCGGAGTCCAGCCCGGGGTCGTCACATGTGGTTGCCGCAAGCCCGCCGGAAATTCCTTCGTCGAATCTGCCGGCCGCGCCGTTCTCAAGCCCACCCGCCTCTGCTCACTCAGCACACCGACCTCTGCTCACTCTAGGCCGCTGCCGCTTACTCTAGCCCACAGTGTGTGACGCTGTGTTTCGTTGTGAAAGAGAAACTACTTTGTTTGGCCTTCCGAAAGAGGACATGACTAGAAATCAGTGGTTAAGTTGTATTTACAACACTGTTCTAGAACAGTTCCACCCAAATATTCAGATGTGTGCAGCACATTTTATGGAGGACTGTTGGCATGTTGTTGTCTCAGAAACAGGCTCTGCCATCACATTGAATCAGGTAAACTGGTTATATATTTATGTTTCAGTATAATTACGCACGCTATACCAGGGGCGGTTCTAAACCCTTTTTAGGTAGGTTTCAGCCCCCATATCTGTCATCTAAGCCCCCCAAAACTGTCTTAATGATCAGGCCAGTGCTGCTTCCTGGAGAAAGATTTTCATTCTCACGTGTTTTAAGTCTTGTCAGTTTAAACATTAAAGTAATTTTAAGCCATTTAAGCCCAAGACATCTCAATGCGGTATTCACGCACTGAGATAAAGCGTTTCTAAGCGCTTTGGGG